GGGTGGGAGGGGGTGCAGGAGGAACTGGGGGTGCATGGGCACAGGGACTGCAGGCTAATGACACGGGAAGAGCTTAATGGATTTGGGGGTTCTGGTGCGGTGCAGGAGGCGCAGAGCCCTTGGGGACAGCCTGCAGAGTGGGCACCGTGGGCGAAGCGGGGCAGCCTGTGGGATACAGGGGAACACACGGACACGGGCACAGCTCAGACCCGCAGCAAGGCGGGTGTGACCCCACCGAGGGGCTCCGCTCTYACCCCCCTCTCCCACCCTGACCTCAGGGAGGCCACCATGTCCCAGGCCAGCACCTGCCTCAAGGTGAGCCCTCATCCCTGTCCCCCCTGTACAGGCCACTCTCTCCTTTTGCCGGGATGAATCCTTTACCTCTGACTTCCCCACCCTTCCAGCAGCAGGGGGATGGCAGGGACAGCCCCACACCACTGCCACCAGCACCGGAATCCCCGCACATCTTCCCTCCAGAGACGCTGTTCCRACAGGCAGCTGGGGTCACCTACCGCATCCCGGCTCTGCTCTACGTGCCCCCGGAAGATTCCTTCCTGGCCTTTGCTGAGAAGCGCTCCTCGGCCCGGGACGAGGATGCCAAGTACCTGGTGCTGCGCCGGGGCCGCCGGCACGGCTCTGTGGTCAAGGTAAAACCGCGGGGCTGTCAGAACCAGAGACGGGCGYGGTGCCGGGGCGCTCCAGGGTGCGGTGACACCGGAGCATCCCGCRGCTGATCCCGCTCTCCTCTGCCCGCAGTGGGGTCCCGTGGAGGAGCTGTCGGCTTTGACGCTGCCGGGCCGCCGCACCATGAACCCCTGCCCKCTCTACGACGCCAGGAGCGGCACCGTGTTCCTCTTCTGCATCTGCGTGGAGCAGTGCAAGACGGAGCGGTGCCAGATCTGGAGCGGGTGCAGCGCCGCCCGTCTCTGCTTCGCCACCAGCACTGACGGCGGGCGCGGCTGGAGCGCGCTGCGGGACGTGACGGACGAGGCCATCGGCACCGACCTGTCCCGCTGGGCCACCTTCGCCGTGGGGCCGGGCCACGGGSTGCAGCTGGGCTCGGGCCGGCTGGTGGTGCCGGCCTACACCTACTACGTGCACGGGTTCCTGTGCGGGGCCGTGCGCCTGCCGTGCTGCACCCGCCAGCACTCCCTCGTCTTCTACAGCGACGATGGCGGGCAACGCTGGCACAAGGGCGCCCTGCTGGCCGGAGAGCCCACGGGCGAGTGCCAGGTGGCCGAAATCCCTGGCGACCAGCAGCCCCTGCTGTACTGCAGCGCCCGTGCCCCGCGGGGCTGGCGGGCCGTGGCGCTCAGCAGCGATGGAGGGCAGCGCTTGCAGCGATCGGCGCGGTGCGAGGCGCTGGCGGAGCCGCCGCGGGGCTGCCAGGGCAGCGTGGTCACCTTCACCCGTGCCGGGAAACCGCCCTGGTTGCTGTACTCGCACCCCACGGACCGGCACCGCCGGCGCGATYTGGGTGTCTATGTGAATCCATCGCCGCCGGACGGGGCGGGCTGGCGGCGCCCCTGGGTGCTGCACCCCGGACCCTCCGGCTACTCCGACCTGGCCGTGTGCCCCGGCGGCGCCGTCGGCTGCTTGTTCGAGCGCGGTGCCAGCAGYGCCTGCGAGGAAATCGCCTTCTGCCTCTTTACCCTGGACCTCCCTGGCCATCAGAACCTCGAGATTTCCTAAAACAGACCCGTTTCAGGCGATGCAGTCACTCCTGAGCGTCGGCAGCTGGATCCAGTGAGCGCCGCAGTGCCGAGACCTCACCAGGACATTTCAGGGGCACCAGAGCTCTGCATCGGGTACTTTTTATTTCATTATGGCTTTTTAATCACCTGTCAGACACTGTCAATGACCTGCGGCGGTGGAGGATCTGCTCTGGGTTGGCYRAGGRGGATGCCAGCACAGCATCTGAAATRCCACTGCTTCTCCAAAAACCGGCATTTTTCATCTGGTAGCAGCAGGAAAGCAGAAGGTGCCACCAGGAGTAGCTGGTCCGCTGAGGAAAAAGTGCCCAAAACTCTTGGCTTAGTTAAAAACATTCCGATTYCTGCGTTCCTGCAGGTGGCAGAGGGAATTCCCTGTTTTTACCATTTTTTATCATGTTTTCATC